AATCACAAGTGGTAATGAATCCATTCTTTCATCCATTAATCAACCTTCAATTTCAAATTATTCACGTGCGCCAACTCGTTGCGCTTCAAATGTACCAAATCACCTAAGTACAGATTATTCTGCTGGTAAGAATAAATCATTCACGAAAAATTCCTATAGCGACCTTCTCGACGGAGACGCTGACATGTCAACTTAACCCTCCCTCCACTCTGCTTACATGTCATTACAATTAAATAAAGTTTTTAAAATTCTACAATGGAACATTAAGGGACTTATTAATAATTTTGATGAACTCCGTACACTCATAAGTGATTTTAATCCAACCTTTTTATCGCTTCAAGAAACCCATTGTAGAAGCTCTTTTAATCCTATTCCACCCAAATCATATACTGTATACTTCACGAATGCTGATCAAAATTCATATTCCAAACAAAGAGTAGGTGTTTTTATAAAATCAAATATACCTCACAAACGCATAAATTTAAGCTCAAATATACAAGCCGTAGCCATACAAATAATGTTAAACATAAAATTTACAGTGCTTTCGCTCTATATCCCATCTTCGCAATCGTTTTCTCAGCAAGAACTCTACAATTGATTCTCCGTATTGTCCCCCCATTAATAATATGCGGCGACTTTAATAGTTGGAATACCATCTGGGGCTCAACAGTGAACAACACTCGCGGTACTGTTTTAGAAAAGGCCTTTTTTCAAAGCAACCTTTGCGTTTTAAATGATGGAAAACCAACGCACTTCTCAACTCATCATACTTTTTCACATATTGATTTAACATGTTGCTCTCCCTCACTTCTTCCTTTGGTTTCCTGGTCTATTTCTGATGATCTACATAATAGTGATCACTTTCCAATCATAATCGATCTTAAACTTTCTCTGCTACTCCAGCAAAACAGGCCAAATTACTCCTAGATAAAGCGGATTGGATCAATTGCTCCAAACAGGTGGAGTCATTTTTGAATTCAAAGCCACTTTACGGGAACTGCAACCATGATGCTGCTATTATGTCCAAAGCGATTCGCACGGCTGCTCATCTTTCTATTCCTCAATTCAACACCTCTTTTAAACGAGCTAGGGTTCCTTGGTGGAACAACACGCTTTCATTTTTGAGGAAAAATGAAATGGATCTTTGGCACCGCTTTAAGAGATGTCCTGATCAGAATCACTTTTTATTATACAAAAAGGCCAATGCTCTATTCAGGAAGGAATTACGGAAATCAAAGGCACTTAGTTTCGAACTTTTCTCGAGACGAATTCACAGAAATGCATCAATGAAAGTTGTCTGGAATAAAATCAACAGACTTAATGGGACTTCAAACCTGAACGAAATTTCTGCCATCTGCACTCCCAATGGAACTTTAACTGACGCAGATGAGATTTCTAATTACTTTGGAAAAGTGTGGTGCGAATACTCCTCTGACAGCAACTTCTCCAGTGCTTTCATCGAAAATAAAAGGACTCCAATATCTCTTTCAAATAATATCGATAGATGTGCCATGTTCCTGGAAAATTGCATATCTACCTTAGAACTTGAAAGTTGTCTCTCCAATTTGAAGGGGAATACACCTGATCTAGACCGCATCTCATACCAAATGATCAGCGCTATGTCTAAGTCTAGTAAAAAGTAATTACTGGACCTATATAATACGGTATTTTTGACTGGCCATATACCCTACATGTGGAAACTGGCTACAGTTGTTCCAATTCCTAAGCCAAAAAATGCCTCCATCGCATCGGACTATCGCCCAATCTCTCTTTTATCTTGCCTCTCAAAGGTATTGGAAAAGATTATGGCATCTAGATTATCTTGGTCTCTTGAGTCCAAAAACCTGATTACAAAGCACCAAGTTGGTTTCAAGCGGGGTAGAGGGTGCATCGACGCTCCTTAACATATTGATTTTTTCACGAGCAAAGCAATTTCCGAACGGAATCATGTAACAATTCGCTCTATTGATTTTGAAAAAGCATTTGATAGAGTTGGTCTTCATGTTATTTTAAGACTCTTAAAATCATGGAATGTTGGACCCAAATTCTTCAACTACATCAAATCATTCATGTCGCATCGGCGGTTCAAAGTTAGAATCAACAATCATCTTTCTGATTCCTTTCCGCTAATGAACGGCATTCCGCAAGGATCTCCTCTCTCTGTCACGCTTTTCAAAATCGCTTTCAACGAAATTAGCAAAATTCTTTGCCGTGTACCAAGAGTGGAACATTGTCTCTACGCGGACGATGTATACATTTTTACAAAAGAAAAAGACAACACGAAAGCAATCAACATCCTCGAATCTATTGCATGTGAGATCTCCACATGGGCAAACTCGTCAGGAGCTAAAATTTCTATACAAAAATCAAAAAAAATGCACATTTGTCGAAAACAAATGTGCGATGCAGGAAACCTACTGATGCATATTAACGACTTACCAGTACTAAATGTGCAGACGCTCCATGTTCTCGGGCTCACGTTTTCCAAAAACTATCGTTGGAAAGCACACTGTCTTCGGTTAAAAAACTCCCTTTTAACAAGGGTAAATTTCGCTTGGAGAAGACATGCGCATATTAACACTATTGCTTATCTTACGAAAATGCTTGTGTTAAGCAAGATTGAGTATGTTTTGATAATTTATGGCAATAGCTGCAAATCTAATATCAACATCCTTAAACCGCTCTATCACCAAGCCGTCAGAGCAAGTTGTTATGCTTTTCGAACGACGTCCATAAATAATATTATAATTGAAACTGGTCTCCCAACTTTAGAAAATAGACTGTATGAGTTAAAAGCTAAAATAGTCCCCAAGCTTCTTAATTCAAACAAATCCATTCTCGGTGATGACGTAAGAAAGATTATTATTGCGAAGAAAATTCCAAAGTCACCATCTGCAATTGACCATTGTTTGTGCATCACAAAGGAATTGAACATTCCTTTAAAAATTTCCCGCTCTTTTGGTGTTAAACCTCCCTGGATTTTAAAAGACTGTTCTTTTGACATCTCATTGTCTATGCACAAGAAAGAAGATACTCCAAATTACGTCTTCAGGAATCTAATAGCTGAAAAAACCCAAGTATTGGACAGTACTGGTTGGAATCTTTTGTACACAGACGGCTCAAAATCTCCTGGGCTGCCTCCTGCTGGTGCGGTGGTAGATGCTACAGGACGGGTTCTTCTCAACCACATATTTCACGAAAGTACTTCAACTTTCATAACCGAAGCCAGAGCTATCCTTCACGCTGCCAAGCTTGCCCATAAAAACAAACTCAAAACCGTCATTGTAACTGACAGTTTGTCTGTATTACAAGCTGTTCGGAATCCTTCGACTTCGAGATGGAGCACCGTCAAAAAATTAAGGAATATAATTACTACACCCGACGGAAAAATTAAAATGTTATGGGTACCAAGTCACATCGGTTTACTGGGAAATGAGCAGGCTGATCGAGCGGCAAAGTATGCTGCTTCTGCTCCTCTAATTATGGATGATGTCATGGAAAAGTTGGATCTTCAAAGATACATTGGAAGAAAAGTTAAAGAGAAAATTGCAGAAAAAAATTTAAAATAACATCATCAACACTACTCTTCCATTAACCCTCAATTAACTCCACCTCTATATCCAACAAATGTTGAGAAAATCAAGATCCAAACATTCTCGAGAATTCGCCTTGGTCATACAATTGCAACTCACCAATGGATCCTGAAGAAGTCTTCTTCCCCAATCTGCTGTTGTGGACAAACTCTTACTATAAAGCACATTCTCTGCGACTGCCTCAACTTTTCCTCGGCTAGAAGTATTGCATTTGGAACGATTAACCCTTTGAACATTCTACAATCAGCTTCAGAACAGAATATCAATTCTATACATTACTTTATTAATACTACTAAGCTCATTATCTAATGTACATTTTATTATTCTTTTTTATAATTAGAGCCGATAGCCTATGTTGCTAGTGCTCAATGTCTTTTTTTAGTCTAAGAATTCATTTCATTAGTCTAAAATTAAAATAATAATAATAATAGGTTCTCTTTCATCAGGTATATCATGTAATATGCGAAACAAACGTTGTATTTGCAAACGTTTATTAAAAGAAGTACTTTTCTTACAAATTAATTGTACAGAAGAACATAAGAAATGGAGTTACTGATAGTGTATTATTAAATCATTCATTATACGCGAAAATTTGTAAGTGAAAAGAGGAATGATCTAAGTTTATTTAGCATTTAGTCTTTCTTTCTATCGTAATCAAAGACTTTCGGTAGATAAATGATTCTTTACCACTCAGAGTTGACCTTTTAACACTCTTGTAAAAGCACTGTTGACACTTGACCGAAAAAACAGGCAACCATTTTTTCGAAATACTTTGACCGCGAACCACTTTTCTTGAATTTGATTCATCTTCCCCTTCAGGCACGCGCATATAGATCCATGATGCGGCACCTACTATGATTTTAGATACAAATTTTGAAGCGCCGCCGTTGCACTTCTTAAGCATTCGCATGCACTTATCAACACGACTACCCTTTTAAGATTCTCTCGAATTGTTTGAGATCGAATGTGGAGAAACATTTTGCACGGGAACCAACGCCTAAATTTACCTCAATCTCAAAGTATGCTACATGTCAACCTTGCATAGCATCAATATTTCCTAAAATGATAATTGATTTTGAACGACCCTGACGATTTTCCATGGTGGGCAAAGGATGGCCAGGACTTAACCTATTGTACCGAAATTTCACAGTGACAAGGAGTGCTACTTCTTTACCAAAAGTGGAAGTGAACGTAAGAAATCAACGTGTAAAAATCTTCATGAAAATGGAATTATAAGCCAAAAAATTATTGTCTACTCAAGTACATGCTAGATATCGAAAAACGTAAATTGGCCCCTGGTTTTCATTTCTAATTTTTCACAAAAACACTTTTGTGGAAAAATATTTGCGTAGAGGAATTCTTTATTTAAGTTTAATGGGGGAATGAAACATTTAAATTTAAAGTGAAAACTAAAAAAATTTGTTTAAATCTTTCAAAGATTACATTTAAAACATTTTACGTATTATGCTATCAAAACATTGGTGAATAACTTCGACAAACTTTTCACATTTGAAAACTGTTTTAGAAATAGTTCCGACTTTTCCTCAATATAAATGTAGCTTTTTAAAATCTTTATGCGGGAATTTTTTGTAAATTATATATCACAATTGGATATATTCATCTACTATATACAATCCATATATCCCATTTCGCTGGCATGTCTTACTATACCCAACAATTTGGAATTTACCATGTCACCTCCGGCATTCAACGAAAGTTGATAAAATTCGTCACTATGTACATTGACACCAAACAGCTTCGATAAGCGTTCACATTCTTGCTCACTGCATAACATCCACGGTAAAAAATGTAAACAAATCATAACCCCATAAAAAGCAAAACGTGCGAAATGCTTTTGAAAGTTTTCAAAACTATAATACGATAAAATCTTGGAAATGTCGTTTGATGTCTTTTGATGAGCCTTTAAATTACTGGAAAGTATTGAAATCATGTTCGTGTGATAGCAAACCAACAAGTTAGACCAAATTTTTGAACGAATGTCTTCAGGGGTATTGAAATACATAAAAAAGCTTAAATCCAAAGCCGGAGAACCATAACGTAATTCCTAAAAAAATTGTAAAGAATATTAGGTACTTAACGCCACCGGCAAAATATTATTATTATTATAATTTTATTATATTATTATTATTAATTTATTATTATTATTATATTATTATTATTTTTATATTATTATATTTAGAAGTTAATACGTAAGTACCGAATATTACAAGATAAAAAATTTGTGAAAGTTGTGGGCACTTACTTGAAAATCAAACATTTTTATATCCTCCAATTCGGTAAGAGAAGCTTCTTGTTCTTGATATTTGTATTTAAATAAAACATTATTACGATTGTAATCGCCGTGTAAAATAACAGCAAAATTTTTGTCGTCTTCATTTATCAGAACTTTAGTTCGCAAATTTTCCAATAGTTCACAAGGTTCATGAAAATATTTTTCTCGCAATTTTTTCAAATTCTCAATCAGTTTTACATCCTTGTCATTTGAACTGTCGAAAATATTGTCATCCTTATAGCGTTCCAAATAATCAAAAAAACGATCAAACGCGACACGATATAAAATACGATAGAAATTATTTTTATCTTCATCTGGACGTTTTATATCTATAAATGGTAATGGTTTTATGCCTGCAATCAACTCATTCCACTTGGTAATATTAGTAGACCTTAATGTATATGAGAAGGCATGATATTGTCCTAAAACACGGCTCATACCTAATAAATGTTCAAAGTTAAGATACAAACGGGGACCAATTCGATAGTTTAGGGGTTTTAAATGCTCTAAAACCAAAACTGATTCTGCATCCTTAACGTTGGAACTTAGTCCTTAAATAAAACAAACCAAAATCATAAATATATGTTTAAATTTTCTTTTGTTACCTTCAATATAACCGAACTCTGCTACATAACATTTAGGTAATAAATCGTCTATTTTCGTTGAGCACTCTTCGGCAACTTTCATTACTTCTTTAAATGCTGCCAAGACCGAAGTGTAAACGTAGATCTCGTTAGCAAATTGTATATAGGATTTGCTGTATTCGCGGAAATCTTTGTCGCCACGCATTATCTTTAGTATAAACCATCGTTCCTTAATCCTGAAAATAAAGGACGTGTGTGTGCGTGTACGTACATACGATATTATTTTCTAATTAGGTTAGTAAATTTGCTTACCCTCCTGTAGTTTTTGTTTTCAATTTAATATTGTACATAGTGGACATAAAACCATCCAAGCCTGGCGAATGATCTACTTCGTAGAAAATAAATTCTTCCCTTTGCAAATGTTGCATAATTTGTGGTACTAAACGATTTCTTAAATATTTGTCAGGTAACTTTAGAGCCATAATAATAAAGCAACTTCCAAAATAAATAATACTTTTTCAAAGATAATTATTGTTTCTCCCATAACCAATATTAAGGTGTCAAAATAAGCCGTTTCTTACACTATAGGTAAAGTTTTGCAAATAATTCACTAATATATTATCTTTATTTTAGTATTCCCCTAATTAATCTAAAATCTTTTCAACATTTTATCATAATGTAAACAATCTTTAACAGAGTTATGTGATTTTGTTTTTTGTCAAAAAAAAAAAAAATCGGAATGTAACAACAAATTTTTCGTAGCTTTGATAAGTACGTGTATGCTGTCATTATTATCAAAATATTTGGGTTAATACTCAAATTTAAGCTTTTATTTTACATTTCAAAGAGTACTTTATATAAGATCACATTTATTTCCAGTTTCTAAAAATCGTTTTATTTTCTTTATAATCGTTTCACTTGAAAGAATACTTGGAGGCAATTGTGTTTGTATATGATGAATACAATAGCGAAACCTAACTTTCAGCTACGTGATTAGCGCCATCGTTTTTTTGACGTACCAGTATAATTGAGAGTTCCGTGTTGCCAGCTGTGATTTAAAATATTAAACAGATGTATTTATAATTGATTACGCCAAAAATTGTATATGGACAGCAAGAATAACAACACTGCAGATTGTGGTAAAAATAATTTTTAGTTAATAATATTAATAGACGAATCTTCTATAAACTCTAAGTAAATGGAGTTATGGAGCAAGAACAATTCATACAATTGGAAGTATGTCGCATTTGTGTAAATTGTTTTCCACTTGCCGAAATGGACTTCATCAGTATTTTCGATATTAATGAGGAATTTTCCAAAGAGTTATTATTCATTCAACAAGAGATTAACACATGGGAAATAAATGTGAGAAAGATAAGTAAATTTTGTACCATTTTTACACGTTCGAGCTTTTGCAGATATCACCAGGTGACGGCTTACCACAGAGAATGTGTGCAAACTGTTTTTCCAAATTTCGCAGTATTGAAACTTTTCGCCAAGAATGTTGGGAGGCTCAACAGAAGCTTTTGCAAACTTTAATACAACCCAATGATATAGGATTCGCGAACTCTAGCGATAATCTTGTACAAAACGAAAAATGTTCACATTTGTTTAGCAATTTAGAACATAACGAATCTCATCAATTGTTGACAAGTGGACAAAATCCAATCCCATTGCATGAGTATTCTGAGTATGAAGGTAACTTTTCTCAACTCATGGACTCTTCGTCGATGATGTTACCAAATGATATAATGGACTCGACCAACGAGTTGGATTTCATAGCACCTACTGAAGCAGATTTATGCTCACATACAACAGCCAACCCATCTGCCAATTCTCTCTATTTAAACGAAAGTGGACTTAAAACTGAAAGTGTGGAACCTGAAACGATCGCTAAGACGGAAGTGACACAAGTCATCACTGAAGATTTTGAGGCACTATTACAGCATAGTATTATTCCCAATAAAAGCAAAAATGATTGTGTAAATATAAACGAGGAAGCAAGCCAAAAAGTAATTGAAAAAAATAAAGTAACTATTCAAAAGGTTGAAGTTTTGACAGAACCCAATACAATAATGACTTCTAGTAATGATTGTTGGAATTCAGATAATGAATGTGATGACCCTAAAGTGAATGAACGGTTACTTGGTATAACCTTTGCCTGCTATTATTGTTATTGTCCTGACGTCGGCGCAATAGGGCATATAATATTTGCCAATGATGAAGATCTCTCAGAACATTTTTTCATTGTACATGACCCGAATCGCCCTTACAATTGCCCCGATTGCACGCTGACATATAAAACCCAAAACATGCGCGACAATCATTTTCGTTTGCAACATTTAAATAATCAGGGGCGCGAATGTAATTTTTGTCATCAGCCCGTGGATCCATTACCTGGTCAACATATTAAGCATCAATTGCAATGTCTATATGTGGGCGACTGGGAATGTGATAATTGCAAACAGAAATTTTTGTGCACAAGTCTTGCACGTTTTCGATTGCATCAACTAAGCCATGACCCAATAAAGCAATTAAAGTGTACTTTATGCGATCGTAACTTCTTGCGCCGTGCTAATTTAGAAGCTCATCAGGAAACTCACGCGGATGATAATTTGCTCCCATATAATTGTCATGAGTGTGCGAAAGGTACAACAATATGAAAAAATCTTACAAAAATGACTCGGACCTAATATAACTTTTTCTTCTCGCAGGCTTTTCTAACGAATATAACTTGAAATATCATAAATATGTGCAACATAAGGGCGATATTCCTGCTAAATGTGAATTTTGTCATAAAGGTTAGTATATGAAGTTATCGGTTCATATAAAAAGAAGGTTTCTCCCTTTCTTATTGCAGGCTTCGTCTCACTTTCGTATCTACAGCGTCATATTCGCAAAACACATTTTAAGCAATCTTCAGACCAAGATATCTCCGCACTTTTACGATGTCCCCGGTGCGAAGGTCACTTTGAGACCTTACAACAGCTTTGCTTGCATATGCAACAATCCAAAGATCAAAGCGGTAAATGCATTGACTTGCCAGTTAATACTTTAAAGCACAACAACAAAAGACGCCAACAAGGTCAAGGCAGTTACATGTGTCCAAATTGTCCACGACGTTTCAGAGTGAAAACACAATTTCAAAGGCACGTCAGTGCACACGATCCCACGAATTCGAAATCCTTTCAGTGCCAAGAATGTGAGGCTCATTATAGTAGTGCATGGCATCTCGAGAAACATGTTAGGATGGCTCATGTGAATACAAACACTTACGTTTGTGAAGAATGTGGTAAATGTTTTGCTTTTAAGAAAGATTTAAACGATCATAAGTTGTACCATACGGGTAAGATTAGCTTTCGGCTTCATTTGATTAAAATTTTTTACAAATATTTTAATAATTATAGTTGAATTGCGTGATGTTGATGTGCAAGCAATACGTGATATGAATACAGAATCGTTAATGAATGGCATCGATATACCAGAACTGAAGCATAATTTTATTAATGAAAATCATATCATTAATGATAACGATGACAATGATATAAATCACAATCATTCTTCTGGGAATTACAATGATTTAAGTCAACTACCTTTTAATATCATAGATCGGAGCATAGAAGAAGTGACCGAAATTGCTCCAACAACTACAAATGACGCCCTTACCATGCATTCTTCGGATGACCAAATGATGATGGATTATGTTATCGACAACAGTTGTATAAATTTTGCGCATTCATCTAATGATAACATAATCAATGGCATTATCCAAAATGATCTAAACATATCCGGTAATCACGCGTACTTATTGCCTTCGACATCCAGCAACAGTCATGGTCAGCTTGATCAATACTTCATGTCCTCTTTATTGGATACCGAACAAGAAGTTACAGTTGCCTAGTAGTTCATTTTGCTTTCGGTTTTACCACCTTTGGTTGAAAATTTTCTTTAGTGAGATTAAGAATGTAAAATGTGAAAAAATATTTTAAAAGAATTCATGAATAACTTGCAAATATTGTCACGTAAGTATCCGAAATCGCGCGATAGTACAAATGATAGTAGGAATAAAAAAGGATACTGATCGATTTATTGAGCCATCCACAAATCGCAACCGTTTGGTGACGGATATTTAAGATGCGTATAATCAAAAGCGAATAAAGCGCTCTTTTTTACGTGTTACTTAGAATGTTTACATTTAAGATATACGTTTGTTTTACTAAAAATTATTGAATTATGGAGAAAATTTCAATTCTTACTTTTTTGGAGTATTTTTCTTCGTTCTTATTTTATTTTTTTTTTTTGCCATAAATAATGCAATTTTTACCTCATCTTTTTTGTTTCAAAAAATAAAATTTATGATTTAATATTCTTAAATACTTTTAAGCGGATTTTTTCATACCTTACAAATTTAACTTTTAACTGTAATTTCCCAGATTTCGTTTATAAGAAAAATAAGCAGAACAAGACAAAGAAATTAATAAAATTTTTAAAAGTTTTTCCTTTGTAAATCATTGCACAAATATGTGTAAATATATTTTTTTTTAAATTGGTTTTTATTGATATATATTATATATTTTTTATTTTTTTTTTTCTAGCAAAACCGCCATCGTCCGCAAATTAATGATGGCTCGATGATATTGCCCGTCGTTCATTTGAATTTGTGCCGTTGGTTATTCGAAAATAGACTTGCGATATTTTGTTCTTTTTACACGAAGCGGAAGAAAACTTGATAAATGACGCATGCAAACTTATATATATTGTAGTGTGATCGCATACCGTCGTATGCATCCACTTTGAAGTGCGACAGAATTATGCTGAATTTGCATAATTCTGAAACCAAAAAAAAAGTAAAACAAAAATTTTGTCGCACTTCAACTGGCTGGGTATTGCATTACGAAATGCAATACGACGCCAGGCGCCCCAATTAAAATAAGTGCTTACACTAGCATTAAACCACCTGTAGTTGTAAGTATAAATAAGCCAGATCATGAAATAAAGAATCAATTGTTTGTTAATTGTTTTGACAGCAATTCAATCTAGCGTTCTTATTCGCTGAAACACCAAAGACGTTGAATCCGCCTATGTCTTTATTAGGGACCGTCTCTTGCCGAGTTCTTTGGCACTAAATGAGACGGCTAGACTTGGCGTTCCGAAGCCGAGCAGATTAGGGCTCCAAAGATAAAATACTACCACACTGGAGAAGGATTCATAGGGAATCCTCCCAGATACTACAACGTGTTTTCTATCTCCACTACACGTAGTTGCTAACACCAATCATTTAATATTCCCGAAGTACATAACACCGATCGCCAATTCTATTACACGGCATCATCCAAATATTATTACATGGCGATCCTGCCCAACACAATCCTGTAAACGATCCTGATCTGATACCGCCGTCACAAATAATTTTGGTAACCCGCTATGTTTCGAAAAATTTTTCCACGCACGATCCCGCCCAGCACAATCGTTCCTGTAAATTTCCACTTATAATGGGAGCCACACAATCCAAAATTTTTAAGGGACCCCAATAAATTTTTACACACCTCCTATAACACCCGCCCACGAAATGATCCCACCCGAGGACAAGACGCAAACCTTCAAGGCAGACCACGGCACATCTTCCTTCACCCCCTTGGACTTCGAACACGCCCATCCACTATTTTTTGGCGACGACGTCAACACAGTTGTTCCGTGTCAACCAAACAATGAGAAGTATTCACCCTACCCACAATTACAAAACATAAAGAAACATGAACAAAAAAAAATAGTAATATAAAATAAATATTAAAAATGTACACAACATATTAACATTAAGAAGATAGATACGTAGAATTTTATAATGTTAAGCGGACCTACTACACAAAAAAAAAGTAATAATAATAACAAACAAAAACCACAATCAAACACCCCAACAAATAACATTACGCTTGAAATAAGAGGTATTACTTTAATTTTCAAAAACCCTACCTATTTGGGACACCTAATACCGATCCCACCCAACTAAAAGCTAATCGCTATGATCATTTCCTCAAAACTTACTTTTATCACGTTAAAGTCACTGCTACACAAGATGCAGTGTACAGACCGGAAATCCTCTCCCAACAACATTTACTAATAATTCCTCCAAATATCACACAAACATAACATGCAAAGGAGTTTAAAAAGACAAATGAATATCCAGACTAATGCGGTACACTCTCGGAAAAATTGATCTGATTAGCTCCCAAGAATGCATAAGTACGTATGAAGAATATTAAAATGAAGAAGAAGAATATATGAAGAATAGAAGAATATAAAAGATTATTAAAATGAAGAAGAAGAATATATGAAGAATAGAAAGAATATTAAAGATTATTAATGAATATATGAAGAATATTTAAATGAAGAAGAAGAATATACGAAGAATAGAAAAAAGAAGATTACAGTGTGCAGAATAAAAGAATATTAAGGTGTAGATGAAGAACACATTGTAATGAGGAATATTGAAAACAGTAAATAAAGAGATATAACCACATAAATGAGGAATAGCAAAGACATAGCATTAAACCCACCCAATGAAGACAAACATGTGAAGATTGTTTAAGAATATATGAAGAAATATTAAAATTGTAATGAAAAATATCGGAAAGATAATTATATTTGAATATTAAATAAAGGGAATATAACTACACAAGACAAGCCTTAACCTAAACTAAACCCACCCAAATTATTTTACATAACATTGTATCAATACATTTCAACACTATAAAAATTTAGAAATACTGAAATTATAAATTCAACCAAACATAATTAAAACTAAGCATACAAAGCTGTAAATAAATACTACATACTTAAGAATTTACTTATATTATATAACAAAAAAATTACCGTTTTTCTAAAATTTTCTCCCATAACAGACGGTAAACGGTACAGACTCTAAAACGGTAAGGGTGTAGTGTGATCGCATACCGTCGTATGCATCCACTTTGAAGTGCGAAAAAAAGTAAAACAAAAATTTTGTCGCACTTCAACTGGCTGGGTATTGCATTACGAAATGCAATACGATGCCAGGCGCCCCAATTAAAATAAGTGCTTACACTAGCATTAAACCACCTGTAGTTTTAAGTATAAATAAGCCAGATCATGAAATAAAGAATCAATTGTTTGTTAATGGTTTTGACAGCAATTCAATCTAGCGTTCTTATTCGCTGAAACACCAAAGACGTTGAATCCGCCTATGTCTTTATTAGGGATCGTCTCTTGCCGAGTTCTTTGGTACTAAATGAGACGGCTAGACTTGGCGTTCCGAAGCCGAGCTGATTAGGGCTTCAAAGATAAAATACTACCACACTGGAGAAGGATTCATAGGGAATCCTCCCAGATACTACAACGTATTTTCTATCACCACCAACACATTTATATCATCTTATTACATTTATAACACCAAAGCACATTTGTATACAACACCGATCGCCAATTTTATTACACGACCTCATCAAAATATTATTACAATATGCACTCGAAATAGCAAGGAAAAAATAATTTTTGCAGAAAAAAGTTGTTTAGGAAAAGCCCTCCCTCACCATTGGCCGTGGTTACTTATTGGTTACATGGTTTCTCTTACTTACTTGAAAAAGTCCTCCCTAATAGGTAACTAAAGTGTTTTGAGAATCAATTTGAGTCTGCTTTTAAAGTCTGCAATTGTTCTCTTTTTCATATTACTTATATCCGTGACTGCGTCTCAGCTTAACGAATTCATATTATTTTTATTACAAGCTTTCAAGTTTTAAAATTTTTATTATTTTTTTATAGCGGATGCCAACAAATTTATCAAGAATATTTTTTTTAAGTTTATTTTTGCATTTATACGGAATATTTTACCAAAATTTTTCAAACCAACATAACTCCCTTTAGCAACGACGACGTTGATCCTTCGGGCGATTGCCTGCCCGATTGCGACAAGCGGTCATAAGAAGTACAATGTGACAATCTCAAGGATCCAGGGAGGGAATTGGTGTTCAATGGATCAGAGAAAGCGTAGACATTTTCTTGTTTACCACGTCGCTATATCCCAAAAGTGAATCAATTTCTGCGTCGGCTTTAATATGTTTAATAAAATAATTCGATAATTCGATATCGATAAGCCCCCAAAAATATTTAGGCTATCTACCGCGTTTATACTGGTCAAGACACAAAAATTATTTTAAAATTTTTTTATTGTATTTTAAACAACAACTTTAAAGGGCGATATTTGTAAAATCCTTAAAATTTAAATTTATTTTCCAGAAGAAAAACTCTTGAAACAATGCTAGTTGCTGCAGTGACTCCAAACGCACTTAATGACGCGTGATGCTAATGACTCTTTTTTTTACTTTTTTTCTTTTTTTTTAGCTCAGATGATTTTGATGGTACACGCGGATCAGACGATTTGGAAGAGAGAATCAATTAAGTTCTAATCGTCTGGATTGCCTTGATTGTAATAGCCCTCAAGAATACATGAATGATGAAGGGAATGTGCAGCTGGTAATAGTAGTAGTATTACCAGCTCTTCGTTCCATCATAATAAATCGTTTGAGTAACAATCCGTTTATTATACTTAACAATCCAGGGAAACGCTCAGCTTTCAGTCAATCAAACGATCCAAAACATGATCACATTACGCCAAAAGAAAATCATTTTTCTAAATTTTTTAATGCACAAATAAAAAATAAGAAACATGTTTCACAGTAATTTCAATAAAATAGTTTTTGACAAAAAAATATTGGGCAAAGTTCATAAAAAAATCTTTTCATTTTGAAAACTTTTCCGTTGGTTACTCAGCACCAGTTCGCAGTTGCGGTAGCAAGATTTTTTTACGGACTACACTAAAGAGAGATATTTCGGTTTAGATTTGGGTTGTGTCCTTGTTTTAGCTTGGTCTAGATTTCGTTGGTAAGCTAACTGTACTGCACATATACATTAGTCTCAGAACAGCAAGTTAAGTTTAGCCCGTCATCACGCCCGTAATCGTACAAAGTATAGAACAGAAGAATAGAAATAAGAGAAGAATATAAGATAATTATTAGAAAATGATGATGGAAAGCAAGAACCGACATTATTTCAAGATCGTGCACACACTATAACAAAAGGATCAAATATCATACACATATGTATGTGTGTGCAGTGCACTGCTGGGTATCGAAAAAATGCAGATTAGATCGGAAGTAATTTATTTTCTCTTGTTATATATAAATACTATGAGGGCGAGATGTATGTTTATCTTGTCAAAACGATTTCAAAACCTTCAAGGTGATTTCGGAGACCCAAAGAGTATACGTATATGTTATTAGATAGTTGCTTAATTGTGTTCAAATAAGATATTTTTTCGAAGAGTTGTTTAACTTCAAAATAAATAATTTTCGTTTCATTTATTTCTGTATTGTTTTAAATAAAATAACAAACTTAGCATACTTTTTATTGAGTGGAGCGCTCACTGCATTCGATGAACTCGTTGCTATAACAGTGGTTGTTAAGAAAGAGAAATACCAGTAGCAAGACATTTTATCAGCGAAAAGTAAAGCAAAGCCCTGAAAAGAAAGAAAGGAATCTTATCTGGCACCAAAAGTCCCAATATACGTATAATAAAGCTAAAGCGTTATCGGCTAATAAATTGAACGGTAATCTAGAAACAATTGTTAGAAAAGCATTAAGCGATTCTCTTCAGTATTTTAGTAATGCAATAAGGAAGTAAATAGAATCGTCGATCAATATTTTCGGAAAACTTAGAAAAACATAATTTAAAAATAAAAATGTTCTTTTTAACTTTGGCTGTTTATATTTCTGTTTTTGTTATTGCAGTTATTACAGTATTTTTGTTATTGTTGCGTTTACAATCAAAGCTAATTTTCGATATTTATCCGGATAAAGGAATTTTTTACGAACTTAAATATCTTATAGCTAAGGTGCTATTGAAGCATTTACGTTATAAGTTTTATTATAAAAACGAAAGCGCTTTAAATTCTCCACAGAGTTTCGAGGTACACGATCAACCTCAAGTCTTGGATGAACATCCGAAAAGCTACGATGTTATTTCATTTATGGCGGCCAATATTAACGGACAAAAGCTGTTAATAAATTTAGAGCGCCGTCGGAGAGGTATCATGAAAGCTTGCTTTTACTTATGGCTCCCGGAATACGGTTTGTTGGCTTTGCCTAAACTGCCAGACATGTTACATTTTACAACGGATGGTAACACGGAGAGCGAGGAATTTAAAGGCATTGGCTTTCATATTTACCCCGAAGAGCCGATGATACGTTGGCGTATTAAATATGAAGGCTTACTAAAGCAATTAGATGAAGGAAACAAGCTCCTACAAGTTAAATTGAATTTGACCTTTAACTCAACCGGTAAATACTTTAATTACAACCGTGATCTAAGTTTGGCAGTTATAGCTGATTCGTTAGCTCGCGAAGCTTGGAATGAAGGTTTTTATACAATGCTGAAAAATGTGGACAAAGTCTTGCAAAAACGTTTGCACTACGAACAAAATGGTCAATTAACGGGTAGCTTGGAAATTTATGAAAAGATTGATAAACTCTTTGGACATATACCCTTAACACTTAGCGGTTTTCGGGATCATAGTTTCGGTACCGAACGTTGTCTATCCACTATTAATCGTTACGTTTATGTGGCATTGTTTTTAGAAGATGGATCCAGCATGGTGGTGGGTATTTTAAGTCAACCCTCATTTTTCCTCTCTTCGCTAAAAGTGGGTTACATATGTTCCAAAGATGGTGACTATAAACCTATAACGGCCTGCAATTTTGAATTGTACTCATACGGTGAGAAGGGTACACCGCCGCGGCATCAAAACTTTATTGTTTACACTGTTGACAAGGACTATTTTGTTCAAATAAAAGTTCAAGATTCAACCGAGCGCTACGCAGGCGGGAATTGGGAAGCGAAAATCTATAATCAATTTGTCGCTTGCTGCATCAATGGTAGACATGGTCACGGCATTACCGAGTATCTGTATCGCCATAAAGGTGGGCGCCCAGAGGAAGCGAGCTACTCCGATCCGGAGTGGTATAAAAGAGTACGAAAATCTGAAGATGATATCGAAGATTTTGATCATAATGAATTAAATTCATTTTCTCCGTAGTTGAAAAGGCTGATTTGAAATTTTTTAATAAAAAAGCATTTAAATGTAAACTAATATTTCAGAGCTTTCCTCTTTCAATTCACATTAAAGTAATATCGAAATTTCGACCCTTCCATACCTTGTAATTGAAAAATCGTTTCGCTGGTATGTAAAGTTTTCACAATTATAGACGATTGCTTGTTGAGCTAACGACCGCTTCTGAGTTGTTGTCTTTTTTTAATTTAAGTGTTTCCTCTTTAACGTTCAATGCCGCATTAACTTCACTAGCTTTACGCTTTTGATTTTTGGAGATTTTTCCTGCGCTGACTGTCGAAGAGCGGGTAGGGGTTGCCCGCAAAAAACTGTTGGTATTGTTATCCTTTTGTTCTACGGTCTCTGTTTTAATGAAATGATTGGCCGTTAAGGTTACTACTGGAGCTATCATAAGTAAGCTTTGAGCCTGAATAGGTTGCGACGTTAATTTGGAAACAGCCTTAGCAAGAACGTGACCATTTAATGTCATTTTATTATTGTTATTATTATTATTATTTGGCTCATTTTCTTCCTGTTGCAAATGCTGTTCCCCTTCGTTTTTTTGCCATTCGAGTATACCGGTTAATAGTTTTATGTATTTGATGGCTGAACGTAAAATTTCGTTTTTCGATAATTTTTTATCGGGTGGATGAGTTGGCACCAATTTCCGGAGCTCAGCAAAGGCGCTAGACACATTTTGTTGACGCCATCGTTCACGGGTATTGGTAAATACTTTACGTACGGTCCCCATAACAAAACCATTTTTGGGGTACACTTCTACCGGTGACGTAGCTGTTTGAAATATAGGGGGCGAAGCTATCAAAGGTAGACTGCACGGTGAATCCAAACGATTGCTGGAGGAGACTATGGAAAGAGAAAGAAAAAGAAAAAGAAAGAGAGAGAGAGAGAGAGAGAGATAAGGGAAAAAGGCCAGAACTTCGCAAACCGTTTCAATTAAAGGGGGTTTAATTTGACGTTATACCTTCAGTTTGATTACCATTCAATAAAATGTAATTTCGATATTCTTCTTCTTCTTCCTCTGTGTCATTTAAAGAAAAATCAGATAATTCGCCATCCGATAGAGACTCCGTCTTAGGATTTACTACAGGTTGATGACGTATCAAAGCCGGCGGTTTACCGAATATACTTAATTCAGTCACGGGCTGAAGAGAATTCTCATTAGCGTACAACGATATAATTGCCGCTTTAGTTAAATTAGATTTTATGGAAATTTTTGCATTATTCTCGGCACTAGAGTTGGGAGCAGATGGCTCCTCTTTATCCTTTGGCCAAGCCATTTTATTTCATTTATTTATTACTAATTTTAATTTCACTTTATTTATATTTTAATTAATTTTCAATTAATTATATACACACATATATACGGTTTATTTTTCTTAAATTTATTGATTTTGTTGCGCCCTTCTATCTGATTTCTGAAATTAACTTTAATTATTTGATAGAATTTTTCTATGACAATTTCTTCCGCATATTGTTTCACTTCAGTTGTTAAGTATGATGTGTGGTTGTACGATAGGTTAGCATCCTTTAATATTTCACATAAAATTCGGTCAGTCATATTGAATTTTCACACATGCATAGATGAATGACGTCGCTTTACTCCGCCTAAAGGGCGGTGCTTAACTGTCAGAGTGGTAAGTTGTTAAATAAGAAAGACTTTTACAGATTTCGAGATTTCAAGAATTCCTAAGAGAATAAAAGTCACTTTACTTTTAAAATTTCCTATGGGGAAAATTTTGAAGAGAAAAGTGGAGAGTATAGTAGAACGAAAGTTTTTTACATTTTAAATTGTACGAGATATATGGAATAAAATAGACAATTTTTCAAATTTCGGTCAAGGCCATACCTAAAGCGCATATTAGAAGTGCTTCGTGGATCATCAACAGCGCTGGCATAAGTGTATTCGATTTCAGGGGGGAGTACCATAAATAAATAAATATTTTTCGAGAAAAATAAAGAGTCGACCCTTTTTTTAAAGCACATCTCGTATATCCACTCGGACGGTGTATATTACTTTTGTTAAAAGACACAAAAATGAAAATATATCCGAGCGTAGAGTTTTAAAACCATTTAACCATTTCGTTTATAAGTAATATTGAACATAAGTTGCAATCCATAGCAGATATCATTTTCAAATCTGTCATCTATATTTACGAGCGGGAATATAATCCCGATTGCAGGCAATTAACACTAAGGCTAATTAATAAATATTTGGATTTTTTTTTTTTTAAAATTTTGTTTTTATATCATTTAAATATATTTTTAGATTAGTGTTAGAGAAGAATTTAAAAAATACACAAACAACGGTGATTCGTTACTCCGCGAGTAAATGAGAAGTCCCGAAACTGAAGGCCTAAACAATTTCCTTGTGTGCTGCAGAAAAGCACTGTTACTCCCTTAAAAACATAATATTGCGTAGCCATGAAAAGGGTGAGAACAATAGTAAGGGATGCAATCATATAAAGTTTTATATATATATTACGCATATACCTGCATATGTTTAAATATAGGCAATGGACGTAGATGTTTTTCGTTATATATTTGCTTTTTCTTTAAACTTTATATATTATTATTAGTTACACCTTATGAAACATATATTACTGATTTAGGCACATAGCTGTATTCAAAAACTAAGTTAATTTTTTTTAAAGAATTTATATCCAAATAGCTGTTTCCAAAAGTTGAAATAGCTGATAGAGAACAGAATAAATTTATAACAAAATTCTTTGTTATAAATTCTGACGTATCACATAACACCATAATTATTGCATTTCATTTTTTGATTATTCACCTGCAAGGAATTCGAGTGACGATTAAAGTCACTTCATAGCAATCATTTTGAATTAAAAGACGACATTAAGGAGAGTTCGTTGCCTGGTTTGAAGATAATTCGAAAGTTCTGTTGAAATTTAATGACGGTCATAAGAAAGTCTAAAGAAAAAAGCTTGCGCTTATTTGAAGTGGTAAGGCACGACAATATTCCACGATATTAGCATGACTTGGTATTCTTATACTTTATACCATATGTGGTAAAAAGTAAACATGCACAAATTTCGAACAAGTTGAGAAAAACGCAGCAGAAAATCATTTTGAATCGATTTAAGATTATCTGTCTCTCGGTCTATGTCAACATATTTCTTCGTGTTCAATATGTACCTCCCGGGGATATTTTGAAGAGTTCCTATACGTTAACAAGAAGATAAGCAGAATTGAAAATGGATTGGAAATCGATCAGATCATTTTCACCCCGTAAAATGACAGTAGAAAAGTAGAAAATCTGAATGGGATGAAATCATTTTTTGAACCCTCTTCCACGTAACTATTTTTTTTTGCAAACCTTTATATGAAAACAGTTATTATTATTATTATTATTATTATTTTAATTTTAGACTAATGAATTGAATTCTTAGACTAAAAAAAAGACATTGAGCACTAGCAACACAGGCTATCGGCTCTAATTTAAATAAATGGATATTAGATAATAAGCTTAGTAGTATTAATAAAGTAAAATATTGAATTGATATTCTGTTCTGAAGCTGATTGTAGAATGTTCAAAGGGTTAATCGTTCCAAATGCAATACTTCTAGCCAAGGAAAAGTTGAGGCAGTCGCAGAGAATGTGCTTTATAGTAAGAGTTTGTCCACAACAGCAGATTGGGGGAGAAGACTTCTTCAGGATCCATTGGTGAGTTGCAATTGTATGACCAAGGCGAATTCTCGAAAATGTTTGGATCTTGGTTTTCTCAACATTTGTTGCATATAGAGGTGGAGTTAATTGAGGGTTAACGCAAGAGTAGTGTTGATGATGGTATTGAAAACAGTTAAGAATGAATATTTCATTTCATTTCATTAATAACATACCAAAACTTATATACTATTTCTAGGTATATGTACAGTTTTCATGGAGGTCTTCATATTGGAGGATGATCAAACGTCAACGTGTTCTCAATTTAGCAAACTCAATTGACTTCTCAAAGAGTTTATTATTGTCGAGTTGCTTCCGTGGTAATAAACCACAAATTAGGCTTTATCATCATAAGAATCCCGATATATTGTGCGGTCTAAAAAATAGATATATATGAATCAAATTCCATATGATTGATTTTGGATTTATTAAGGACAAATTTTCATCTTAATATATTAAAAAATATATCTTTTTGGCATATAAAACCTTATTTTTAATTAGAACCTTTATGTGGGTTGGAATTCAAAAAATAGATCTACGTGGTACAAATTCGGTAATATTAATTTTTATGTCAAACTATTATTACAAATGAATTTTTATCAAGATATATTGAAAATGAAGCCTTCTTACCATATAAAGGTTCAGTTTGCGTAGGAAGGGTTATATGGCAAGAAGTTCAAAAAATTGCCCCACCCTTAATAGCTTAAGTTGATTTCGAAAATGATTCTGAGTCGATCGGTATAATGAAAATGGGTCTATATCAAGCCCATCTGGGTGGTGTAGGGTATAACAAGGCCTAATTTTTACTATCTTGTGAAGAATATCGGTGATGAATTGTATTAAATGAAGTAAAGAATTTCCCACGAGATTATTTTAGCAAAATAAGTTGTAAACAGGTTTGCGTGGCCATTGGCTTCACTTTTTATAACTTATAAAAACTCATCAAAATCAAACGATTTTAAAAGTTGGAGAATGTTTATTCATCGCTTTTGCACCAAAGAAGCGTCATCTCTATCTAGCTTCGATTGCTTTTTTATAACAACTAATTACTGTGGGAACTTCTGTAGTCTTATCATTTCTCTGTTTTGAAAGGATTAGCGGCTTAGGAGATGCTTCCTATAAGTGTAAGTTTGACGATATTCGGAAATAATTACGTGGAGAGTCGGCAGGCGGAGAAGTGGGCGAGAGAATGCTTGTATACATTTGACGTAAAAGTAAGAATATTAGGTGGATAGAAAGGCGGGAAGGATCCTTAACAGACAAGCTCAATAGTTTGTGTGCCAAAAGTAAACTAAAACTTGCAGGCTTCTTCGAAAAAAAAGTTGCATAGCCTTAAGGATTGATGAAAATGAATGAGTATACCTTTTATCTTCTAGCGAGTAAGATGGAATCACGTTTAGCGAATTAGCCTTGGGAACTACAGATCGAAGTTTTATGTTGGAAACTTTGCAGTTTAAATAGGCTCGTAGCAGAGATGATATTCTTTTTAACGCGTTTCTAAGGAATAAACGATTGATTCGTTTGAAAGGATTTGTAAGATTTCCAATGTAAACTCCGAACTGTGAGAAAGTTGCTTGTATTCACTTCTTTATTTTCATTCTTTTTTTTTTTTTTTTTGGGGAAATATGGGTTTTGTTATTTTTATTGGCATCTTTCCAACATTTACAATTAGTTTTCACATCAAAGTGATTATTGTTTTTTTTTTTTTTAAGCTCCTTTCCCTTTCTTTTTGTCGTCTACACCCTTAAGTAACATAAAAATTTTCACACCCACTCAGAGTTAATCCCGCAAATTAATAAAATTCAACGATTTTTGTGCTTAATGCCACGCGTTAATAACCCTGATAATGATGTAAATAATAGCATAACGACACGCACTCTTTAAAAAGTTGTTTGCAAAGTTAAAAAGGACAGCAAAACACAGAAGGCGTGACCGTTTTTCTTATGCAAATGAAAAAAAAAATAATAAAAATAAATAAAAGATTATTAGAAAAACAAAGAAAGAAAACCTGAAGAGGACAGGAAAAAGGAAATTTAATTAAAGAACAGAAAAGAGTTAAATTAAAAAAAGAAATGAAAAATAGTCTAAAAAGGATTTTAAAAAAAAATGTTTTTAATTTAATCATTTGCTTTTTTAATGCTCTTAAACTTTTTCTAATAATGATTAACTGCACGCGTGTTGCTGGTAAAGGGCACGCGACTAGTATCGCGCACTAGCACCTTTCACATTCATTGATGCGGCTGGCCAAACACTGATAATGTTGAATGAAATGAATGAAAACTAGTTACAATGTTGTAGACGACCAAGGTCGATCATAAAATGTACCTTACAGTATTTCGCCTAATACAATTTCTTATCTATAGCTTCCCCATAAAATATCACATTTTATATATGGTTACACAGACTACCTATCTGTATAACTCACAATTGCCCCTAAGAAATGTTTATAAGTAATCAGTATTTTGGATCACCTTTCGTTATAAAGCACTAAAAATTAAATTTTCCTGCCACGGAAAGGCTTATTGTATGCTTTGGTACAAGTATATGCTAAGTTCATGCAAATATATGCAATCCAGCCCAGAAGGACTTGAGATAGACTTTTATTTTATTACACTGATCGCTGATTCACTTCCTGAGTCATTTTCTGAATGGATTTAGGTTTGTCTGTCCGTCTATCCATTTTATTTTCTTGCGCTCAACGTAAATGTCGCAATTTGATATTTGGTGAATT